TGGAGTCACCTAACACAGAATAAAACCCTTTAAAAGCCTTCCCCAGTTAATTCTTCGGTCTGAACTAACAAAACAATTCTTCAGAAGAAATCCCAGAGACATGTAGAATATTACACACGGCAAAACTAGTGGAATTGCAGAGACATGACCAACTTTATTAGACTCCTCCCTGAGAGCAATCAATGAATGACATAGCCTATTTTAGATTCAGTTGTTGCCTTGAATATTTTGGTAGAAAAATTACTAGTAAATATGCACACACGCATATGCATGTGTGTGTGCGCGCGCACACACACACACACTAGTGAGCAGACCTAACTTTATATGAGTTGGAATAGCCTTTAGTTTGATATGTGAAGCCTTAAAGCAAAGTTATGGTTGAAGCCCCACCCACTGGCACCCCAGGTGCAGTTCTTGCCATGGCACAACCACACAGAAGAGTCTGCCAACTCCATTTCCTGATGGGGCCTGCCCCAAAGAAAGAGAAGAAGGAAGTCATAGCTATCTCTTGGACTATATACTGGCTTCTAACTGTATCCATTGCAAGGCTAGGTGCTGGTTAGGGATGTATGTTACCTAGTGTTCCGTATTGAAGGTTTAAATATGTGAATATGGAAATTAATTAAAAGTAATGTACTTTCACAAACCCAGAGATGGATACTCCAAGACTCCTGTTAATAGCCATGCCAATGCTCAGTTGTCTAGGTTTGATATTATGGTGCTGACAAATGCACATCACCTTTTATTATTCTAGAAAGATGATAGACAAACTGGCATGTAGAATTATTTCTCTTTCAAGATCAGAGGTGGACAACTTGCGACTCTGCACATATTTTGGCCTAAAACACCCATTAACCCTCACCACTGGCTCCACTGACTAGGATATTGCAGAGAAAATTATCTGGAGACCCACAAGTTACCTGCATACCCCTGTCCTAAATTATAAATTTGATCCAGCACTAATGAGAAAAATCTACTCTGCACAACTTAAATATAACATTTCATATTTTACATTCCCTTCCTATTTTATTCTGGATTTTAACCTAGTAAATATATTGGAGCAGGCCTTAGATGGCTCTCAGAGGTCCTTGGAACCATCATGTAGCAGGCGCCAGAAAACTCTAGAGAGCTCTGTTGGGTAGCAAAGAGTGGACTGAACAAAGGCAGTAAGAAGTCTCACTGGCTCCTTGTATACTTGAACATACTGGGGCTCAACTGCATCTAACTGAAGTTTACCTCCATCTGCATTCAACCTGCCTCTAGTTTTGTTTCATTGAGTGAATCTCAACTACAGAAAGGGTACTCAGAAGAGATTGTGTCTACTGCCCAGGTCATTTCTGTATTCCAGACACTGACCAGGGATTTGACAGGATTGCCAGCTGCATCAACTGCACTCTGCCCAAAAGCCCTCTGGAAACTGTCCAGATTCATCCATCGCTAGGAGAAGACTAAGGATATGGTACAGGTCAACATCTTTCTTTCCTTTTCTAATGTCTAACAAAAGACATTTATGGTTTTACTTCTTTGGCTAATTTCAGTATATTCGTTATAGTTTTACTCCCCCTCTTTCCATTCTCTATATCTCATCCCACCATGCAGATTTTAGAACCGCTCGTATTATTTTAATTTTTAACATAGTGAAAGCTGTTCTAAAAGCAGCTGTGTGTGTGTTGCTTACCTTCAGCATCATTTCTAGGTAGCCAATGGCTTAATGATCTAAATACCTGACAGACAAGTTCTCAAACAGACACACAGGTTCTGCCTTCCTCAAGAATGATGGAGGGTTGGTAGCAAGCATAACAACCGCATCCATGCTTATCTTATCAATTTGTCTATTCACAGCCTTTGTCAAGCACAAAACCTCAAGTACATTTACTACTCTTGACAAATGCAACACCCAAACAATAATGCCCTGGGCTTGAACTAAGGATGTGCAGAGGCTGGAAAATTCTGCTCATCTAAAACCAATACATTTCTTGCCAGCTTCTGATCCAAAGACTGGAAGTGAGCCAAGGCAGGGTTGTTTGTAGACTTCTAACTTTAAGAAAAAATGCAATTTGCACATTAAAGGAAATGCTTGCAAATGCTAAGGAAATGCTTGCAAATTTTGCAACTTGCAAAAAATTGGAAGTTGAAAACTGCATTGTTCTAGCACGATTTGCATTAGGCACACTAGAATGATGTCATTTTCAGATTTCAACCTGTGCAAATATCACACATCCATTTTGTGTATATTGAATGATTCGTGCAAATTTCTTTAGCTTTTTTTTTTTTTTTTAGAGCACATGTCATATCCAATCTTAGAGACAGAAGGGTGCAAATCAGAGCCATGACATGGCTAGCAAACCAGAATCCAGGGAGTCAAATTCTGAAAATCTGTTGGATTTTCACCTCTCTATCAGATTATTTGTGCATCCCTAGTTTGGACCTCACTTCAAATCTAGGGTCACTCTCTCTGCTCATATAACTTTTAATTCTAAAAACACAGAATCAGAGCTTGTAATATAGTTGACAATTGTTTTCAGACTCCTTGTCACCAAGTCTAATTATTTAAGGTATTCTTAAGAAAAGAATCTGAATGACACATGCTCTTAACTAAACTTCAGTTTCTGTTCACGTGAAAGAAAAAACTGGAAAAATACTCTATGTGATCACACATACATTGAATAAAATATAGCAAGATATTACTCAAACATGCTGGACATATAAATAGATGCTCATAAAGCTTTTGCACATATGATAGTTTTGTCTGATAGCAGTCTTACTGAATTAGAATATTAAAGGAAAAAAAGCTTATGATGTGTCACTTTCTCCTTGGTTAGCATTATTGTAGTCATTCAGTGCAGTGTTTAGGATTAGACATTTCCTATTAATTTCTCAATTTCAGACAGTACGCAAAATAATTACTGAAAACTGTTAAGATCACAACAGAGCTTCCAGAATTACAAACTGGACCACTAAAGTACTATAAATGCATCAATGATATAAATCAAAAGTGTTACCTAAACATCTAAAGAGAAACTTCTATCTGCCAAATGGAGTTCTGATTCATGCTGAAATGGGACTCACATCCATAAACATGTGGCTTTAACATTGTCCCAAAAATTAAGACCACCTCTTTAGTGCAGGTCTGAGTGACATTCAGAAATTCCCATCCTGTTATTAGTATTCAGACGTATAAAGTAAGCCTTGGGTTTACAGTTGCTGAGCAGAGCTGTCAGAAGCAGTTCTTTTTTGAGGAAGTTAATTCATAGGATCACTTTAAGTTGGAGTTGACCTGACCTGGCACACATAAAAACAACCTTCCACATAACATCAGTAGTCTAATTTAATTTACAAAACTATGAGCCATTTATTTAGAATTTCAGTGCTCCTAATGCTACAGAATAAATGGCCCCCTGAGGCTTCTCTGGAAATATAATATGGCAGTAGGCATGAGAGGATCAAGTCAATGCTGAACTGCAAAGCACAAAATTGCTGTTTAACGATTAACCATCTTTCTAGGGTTGTTGTGAGAATATTTAAAGTGTGAACACTGTGCTCTACAAATTGTTACAGAAACCATAAGAAACATAACTTATGAACATGAGTGAAAAAATAAAGTTATCCACTCATAATACTGCTGATCTTAAATTCAATTCTCTCCTATTCATGTTTAAATGGAAAAGTACGTTCCAATGTATTCAATGAAAGTTACTTCTAGGTAAATATGGTTAGTGCTGCATTCCTACTCTTTAAAATTTAGCTAAAGGCATAGGAAAGCCACTTAAAAATCCAAATTTTATAAATGATGTGAATAATATTAAAACTATGACTATTTTCCCTATTTTTTTTCTGGGATCAGTGTTTTCATGTACAGTTACACAGACATCTTTTCAAAGAGTAATAGCTTTTGCATTTCCTAGAGTTCTTGCAGTTCTCCACAAGGTGGCAGCCACTTCTATTTGCTTAAAAAAACAAAAACAAAAACCCACAGTGTTTTTCTTAATATCCCTACATTAACGGGGGGGGGGGGGGATTAGAATTTCAATTTGATGCTGCTTTTTAGTTTAACCAGAATTTTCCTCATTTACATGCCTGAATGTGAATGCAAGCAAATTTTGTGAAAAAAGCTTCCATATTCCCTAGTTTACATTCATGCTTTGAAACTGCTTAACTTAGAAAAATGTAGCTTAAAAAGTGTATTTAAATGCTTTAGTTGATGTGTTGAAAGTACATATTTAGATATACACTTTTTAAAAATTAGCAGCTAAACACGTATTTCCCTATTCAAACAACAATAAAGACAGAATCTTGCAACCAGGAACAGAAATTAGGCAAACTGAGCTCCAGGGTACAGGATGTAAATGAGCTCTACCTTCCCTGATTCTCCTGTACATAACATTAACTGGAACTTCCTCACTCTCAACCCCTTTCAGTCCATGTTACCATATTCAAGTGTGCCCTGTGATTAATGGCAAACATTCTCATGGACCTCTCACCTGTGGGATTCAAGCCATGCCTTCTTTCTATAAGACCTGTGAATTTTATCTTTTAGAAATTCTTCTCCTGGGCCTTCCAAAGCTGCTCTTGATGTAGGTACACACTGTCCACCACAATGTGATTTGAGATGGTGTGTGGGGAAATGGGTCATATCCCTCTCTGATCTATTCCCCAAACTTCAGGAGCAAATGGAGTTTTTCTCATTAATGAGATTCCTTGAATATACAGTAATATAAGGTTCTTTCCATTTATTTTTCAGATTATGAAACTTCAAATGTCATAGTGTTGCTAATCTTCAAGAGTTTCTCACCACCAAGAAAAAATAAGGGAAATAAAGAAAAGTTTCCTTTAAAATTAAAGCCAGGTTTACCTAAAATGTGATTAAACTAACAAAATCCTTGGCTAAACAAGTTAATAATTCCACTTTCAATGCTTTTAACTTACATAATATTGCCTGAAGATAATATGCTCTAACATTTAACTGTGGGAATGGCATGCATTCTGTTTTGCTTACTGACCTTCGCTTCTGGATCACTGTTGATGCTACAAGAATCATCTTCATCGCACTGTGGGGCATTTCTGTTGTGCATGGGAAAATATTTCAATTAGGTTTAAAATGGTAAGTATAATGAAACAAATTAATATATCAAGCTCATGTGATTGCCATTAGGAGTTTTTATGTGATGCTGTGTCAGCTTTTACATGAATGTTTGAGCTGCAGGATTTCAGGGACCTCTGGAAATGGAAATGGACCTCTTTTCGACACCATAGAGATGGACAACCTATGGCCATCCATATATTTTTGTCTACAACTCCCATCAGCTTTTACTAGCATAATGAAGGATGACAGGAGTTCTAGACCATAATGCCTGGATTTGCTGATTACTGCCCTAAGGCAACGTGGAAGTATATACATGCCCTTCAGGGCCATGTAAAGCCCAGGTAGGGGTTAGCCCAGAAAACATATTAATAGGCAATACAGCTCTTTCCAGACTTCTCCAGATGATCAAAGAAGTAACCTCATTATTACACTGGCTTGTACATTTGGGAGACAAAAATAGGGCTCATCTAACCCTACTGCTAACCCTGTTTTCACTTCCCAGGAGTACTGACAGATAAGATACTTGACTCTGGACACAGCAGTTCTCTCTTTTGCAGTACACTAGTTCTGGAGAGCATAGTTGCTAAAGAAGCATATACACCCCAGATTTAAGAAGCTAGTCACCTTTAGATTTCTAGATATTTCAAAACAACATTTCTATAGCTTTTTAAAAAAGAAAATTACTATCTTGAGCTGAAATTCAAACTGTGCTTAATTAAAAGTACATTCTACAAAAATCACTGAGACATATTTCCAGGTAAATTAATTTAGGATAGCAGTAAAGACAAACAACAGATAAACAATCATACCTGAGCTTCAGTGAGGCATAACGTAGCGTTGCTCCCTCAAACTCTTTTAAGCTGGGATCTGGATTCACTGTGGCTGCATGGAGGTCCTGGAGATGAGGAAGAGAACATCAGCATGTTAACCAGGATGTGGGGCAGTTCTTCCTCTGAGTTACATTTATTTTCAAATAGAAATAAAATTCTTCCTGCAAAGCAGAAATACAGCATGTTTGGCTAAACAGTGTATTAAAAAGGCATGCATGCATTTTTCAGACTGCTATTTGTTAAGAGCAGGCCCAGTTTATTACAGGTGAATCTGTGTCCTTCTGACCAAAGCAAATTCATTTTGCGTGAACATTCAGAATTAGGTATCACATTTGGGAATTTGACCTCCCTTGCAAGCCAGCTTTGGCTGATCAGATCTTTGGCACAAGTGAATAGGGAAGGGGGCACAATAAATACAGCCACAGCCATGCAACATATTTTTTTCTTAAAAAAAAGATTAAACAAGTATGAAAATGTTCTAAAATTTGACAATATACTTGCCTTCCAAATGTCACTATTAATCTTTCCCCCATTCAGTACAGCAAAATCACTCCATGGCTGTTTCTAGATATATAATTATTCACACAGGAAGAAGCACATTGATTAAAAAACAAACAAACCAAAAAGCAAAGAAAAAGAAGGAAGGAAGGACAGAAGGAAGGAAGGCAGGCAGGCAGGCAGGAGGAAGGGAAGAAAGGAAGGAGAAAAACACACAAAACACTGTTGTTAGAATTATATTTACAGGTTGGGTTAGGGAAAAGATCACCTCAATTTTTAACTTATTAATTTACTGTATAATCACAGAGCCAGTTGCCCTCACATCTCTCAACATGTTAAGTGGCACAACAAGTGCACATTAAAGAGTTCAATGGAATGTTATGCTTTTCCCCATTTTTACTGTCTGGCACTTCTTAACTTCCCTTTACAATGGTACACCCCAGGCAACCACCAGAGATCAAAATCACCCCAGGCATTACAGGGGTTAATCGCCTGGCCAAAGAGCTGCGAAACTGCTGCTGTGCATCTCCATCACAAGTGCCCTAAAGACATTTACATGACTGAAACAAATGTTAGCACACTAACTAGCCTTTATGGTTGAGTCAGCCCTGGGTACAATGGTTTTTTGTGCCAGCACCAGCTGAAATTAGGAGTGTCTTTAATGTAGCAATTCTTAAATTCCACCACCTCCATACACAGCCGACTTGGAAATTGCTGAACTCAGTGGAGCATTTAGCAACTTTTTTGTTGTATGAATCAAATCACATGATTAACTCATAATAATGAATTATGAACACATGAATAACTTTTAATAAATTTTTCTTCAGCACTGGCATCATCATCAAAATCCGTACTGTATCTGGAAATAGCAGGTCCTAGGCCTGGCCACTTGTACCTTCCCCTGAATAATAATGGATGGGTAATATTTTATGGAAAAATAAGCTAACTGCACCAGTTATACCATATGAAAAAAAATCTCAGCCCACAGGCCAAAGCATTGCTGATATTGATTTTGTCGTGCTCAAAATGGTTTCTAGTTCCATCATCAGTGGAACTGTGGAATGGAGCCCACAGACCAACAGTGGTTTGCAGATTACAAGACAAGTAATTGGGGAAAGGGAAACTTTATACACATTGGGAACAGGCAGTCAATGGGTTTGCCCTTGCATTAAGATGTTTATATGAAGGGAGAACAATTATAGAGCTTGGTCATAGTGCTTTGGCCTGGTCAAGTGAAAAATCTATATCCAACCCCTGGGGCTTTATCAGATCATAACTGCCTTATATTTGCAAACTGTTGGTATGAATAACAATTTTGAGAAATTCAACATAAAAGGGGGGTAGGGTTGAAAGAACAATGAGTAAGAAATACAGACTGACTTCTTGTTGAAACTAAAATTACCACTAGAGAAACTACTAACATGCATTCATAAGAGACGTCCTGCAGGATTGAAGTAAACACCTTTCTAGTTCATCATTTTGTTTCCCACAGGGACCAATCACATGCCTATGGAAACCTCAGCATTTATTTTCCTTTTACTATATCTTCAGAGTAAGTCCATTCATAATACAAAATTCAGTATTCATGTTTGAAATCTTTCTTCATGGAAAATATATTAAGATTGAATTGCTTTCCATCTAAGCCTTGATCCTGCTGTTTAAAGCAAGACTTTCTGTGCAAAGGTATATGGAAAAAGCTGGGGTGAGACACAGGATATCAAATAATAAAGAACATGATAAATTGCTGTTATAAAATGTACCTGAAAGGTACATACTGCAAAGGATAAAGTTTTTGTCTCAAACAAAGTACCAAACATAAGAATAATGGATATTCCTAACAAGAATTAAATAAAATATGAAGGAAATATTTATAAGTGTACAAGTCAGCTGGAGCTAACCAGAAATGTTTCCTGCAAAATGCAAAACCCGAACCAGGGTGGTGACAAAAATATAATACAATATGTGGCAATTTTCTGCCCTTTCAATACTACTCTAAAAGCTGCCACATGAAGCAGGCCGCCTCATTCTTCCTAACAATAAAGCCATCCTTGTTTTTCATTTAATATAATATACCCATGCCAAAACTGAACAAGACTTTTCCATTGAGGATTAAGAACAACCAACAGTTTTTTTCCACTCAAACCATTTATTCAAGAACATATTACTCTCTTTCTCTCCCTCTAATGTGATTACTAGATTTTGCTCAGTGCTGAAAGTAACAAAGAAATAGTCTGGTGAGCCTGGGCCACCTTCGGGATGCACATATTCGATTTCAACATAAATATGCAGAAAGGAAGTAAACTGTATTCTGAATAGTACTTCTTCATATTTTTGGTTTTCCCAACTTGGATTTTCTCTACCTGAAGGACAGGTAGAGGAAAGACAGGTAGAGGAAATTTACTTCAATTAACTCCCAGTTCCAGGTATGGCTTTCCCCCCAATAAGGGTCAACTCTCTCAGGAATAATCTGACCAGTGCCACATGCTTGCAGTGGACAGGGCTTGACCCAGGGTTAAAAGTGGACAGAACCAATACGTTTTTGCCAGCCCATCCCCTTCCAGCCTCTTCTCTGTCAATCTGTCTTTCTGCCACCCCTTTCTCTTTCTGCTCTGTTCTCCTTCTCCCTCCCTTTCCATCCCCACCCAGCAGCCAGCCAGAAGTCTGTGCTGGTTGTTTGGAGGGGTTTTTTGAAATTAGGTTCAATTTCTATAGGAAATTAGGCTGAGGGTTACAAGTTGGTACCCTGGCCAGGCTAAGCAGAAACAAATGAAACCCCAATATTTCTCTCTAAACTCCAAATATTTGCTATTGCCAGCTGATACTTAAATTAGCCTAGGATGCCGTATTTCCTAATTAGGTCTCCTCTTTTCAAGGACTTTCCTGTAGACCCTCTGGCTTTACTCCTTTCTTTTGATGTGTACCCTAGTTTAAGTCAAAAGTGTTATCAGTGGGCTCATCTGGCTTTTTTTAGACTTTATGTGCAGTTTCATAAGCATTGAACAGTGTGTGGTGATTGCAAACTGTTGTCATAATTCAATCCAACACTGACTTGATTCATATGCCATGGGAAACTATTGTGTGTTGTTAACCACAATAGTTCATTAGTTTGTGTGAACCCAGACTGATTCGTACCACTGGTTCGTTTTGAGGGCAAAACCTCATTCCACGGTTTGCTGTGTTCATGACGGATTGCCATATCACTCAGACCCAGCAGACCAACCCTACCATGAGTGCTGGTTATCAGCTAGTGACTCCCTCTAAGTAATGGTACTTAAAGACAGTTGGCATTGGCTTCCTGCCCTTCCCACCATGCCTGTGAACCAACTATGCCTTACTTCAGCTTTTTAGCACTTTAACGCCCCCTTGTTTTTCTAGAGATCACTGTGACCCCAATGACCTATCAAAACCACCCTTTCAAGGGGACTTACAACTATCTGTCAAAATCTGTTTTCTCTAGTAAAGGGTGTGGGAAGCACTTTTTGCACTCACTTGAGCATCATTAAGAAAAAGTGTAAAATGTGGAATAAAGTGAAAACACAATGACTACCCATTACTCTAGATCAGGATTCTGCATGTGTGTTTTATCTATAAATCAATATATTTTGATGCCCTCAAGACAGGAATAGCTTCTGGAGTTTCTGCTTGTTTCTATGTAAAACTCAGCACATATTAATATTTCGCCACATGTCCTTGCATCTAACAACAATCCAACATGGTGGATAAAAGTGGCTAAGGGCATGTCTGAACCAACCCTCATTTTGCATGAAGTTAGCTGAAAGGTGCAGTATTATGCAAAGCATCATTTTTGTAAAAAAAAAAAAAATCCTCAACTTTTTTTAAAAACTATTTTAACCTCTCTATATGCTCAAGACAGATCTACAGACATTACCTCAGTTTCTGGAGTGGGAGACGGTGTAATTGAACTAAGTGATCCTTTTCGTGAGCCCTGAAGATCTGTTGGTATGGACACAGGACGCTCCCACTGGGTTGTTCCTGTTGGTATGTGCCAGTAATAGATGCCAGCTATGTCACTGATCTTCTTCCAGCCTGGTGGCAAGTCAGGATCTGTCTGAAATGACTGATCACTCCATATATCTACTGGGAATAAAAATCCAACACAAGGCATTATGTTATTAAAGTTATTAAAACGTAAAATAAGTTTTTAAAAAGTCCAGATTCAAACGATGCAGAATGCTATATTATCAAAAGAAGATTAAAGAAGAAACAACCTATAGGATGGTACAGGTTGTGAAAACAAGGTTGTCAAGATGGTAGTCATGACCACCAAGTTGAAAGGCAGAGCTAAGAAGCATATGCTACCCCTGGCTACCTGTTATTACTTTCAGTGTCAGGAACAATATGCTTCTCAATATCATTTGTTGGGAACACTGTTGAAAGACTACTACTGACATACATGTCCTGTTCACAGGCTTCCCAGAAGTAATCCAGCATGGCCCTGCATACATTTTTACTATGTATATTATTATGTATTGTGACCACACACACAAAGCAGATTCATTTCAAGCCAGACTGTATATTAATTCTCCTTGGACATAGTGAGAGTCTAACATAAGGGTTCTCAAACTTTTCCACCAGGGGGCCAGTTGAAAGGTGCCGATGCTGGGTGCAGGCCGGAAAGGATGTGCCAGTGGTGTGCGCGGGCTGGCGAGGGGTGGGGGCAGCGTATGCAGGTGCGTACTGAGGTGGGGCGGAGCACGCGATGAGGGGAGGCGAGGTGAGACGGGCACACACTGCAAAGCGAGCACACGAGGCAGCGGCTCACTTGCTTGGAGATGGTTTCTCCGAGTGAGCAAACTGCTGCCTCCCCGCACGCAGGACGAGGTGGGGGCAGCGGCAGGTCCAAATGGGCATGGCGGGCTGGATCTGACCCCCGGGCCATAGTTTGAGGACCCATGGTCTAACAGCCTAGACATCTGGCCAGGGGACATGTAGATCTCCAGATGTTTCAAAACTACTACTCCTATACTCCCTGATATGTTGTATTGCAAAGTCCAACAGCATCTGGGGGAAAACAGGTTCCCGACTCTTGTTTTAGGTAACCTGGCAATCTTATTTCAAATTCTTGTGCCTGCTTAGTCTGAACTCCCCACTTAAAACATATGGAGGCCTAGGAAAACATTTTACAAAGGCAACTGCTTCCACTGAGAGATATAATCACAGATTTAACTGTTGCACTGAAATTGCCATGAGTTTACTGGTATTGTGGCTGAATTGTGCCCAGTGATGTAAAGTATAATAGTTCAGGATGATTGTATTTAAAACGGCACGCCAACAACTTTTCACATAGGCTTTAAAAAATTATAAATCCTGAGCAACAGTGAATTAAGATGCATAAAGAACAAGTTCAATTTAGAATGGGATATCCAAACATGGAAAAATAAAGTTTTCCATGTAGTTGCTGGCCACCTGTTGGGAATAAAAGAGACAGTTGTTCTTGGTGCATGTTTCAGGGCCAGGGTGGCACTGACTCTTCCAATGAAGGTGGTGTGGCCTGGAAAACAAGGTTTGCAGGCATGGAGATGGCAAGAAAGGAAGAATTTATCTCAAGGCTGCCATCTCCAGGGTTCAGGTAGGCTCTGGGAACAAACATGGGTCTAGAAGTGCTGTAAGGGGTGATGGAAGATGAGTAAAAGGAACTTGGTCCAATCCTTGACCACATGATGCAGAGTTGGGAGAGAAGGGCATGCCCATTTCTAGAGCGGCACTCCCAGAGGGATGGGATCCAGGGTTACTCAAAAGGAGGGTTCTCAAATTAGTTTCTTGTTCAGTGAACCCCTCTGTGCATGCTCAGAGGATCCTTCTTGTATGGTTATACTTTGCTAGATATACATTGGAAATACAGAGCTTTTGCTGCTTGAAGGTGGGAACCCAGCTCTCAACAGCATCTTATTTTGAAAAATGTACTATATACCTCAACTCATCAAATGGCACCTTTGATTTTAACCACTAGTGTTACGCATTCAGATTAAACACTACATCTTTCCCTCATGTGCTCCTACTTCCTGGTTTGAACAAACCATGAGATGTTGCAAAATCTAAATTCAGAGAACTATAGTTTGTGCAAACCAAAGTGTTTGCTTCCAACGTGTTTGCTTTGCTTTGAACCTAATTAAAGCTCCAAGTGTCACATGACCAAATTGCAGCATACAAAGAAAGGAAAGAGGGAACCATGGGAGCTCAAAGCCCACCAAAAATAGTTTGGTCACTGAACAAGCCTGACTTCATAAGCCAACAACAAACTAGGGCTTCTGTTTGTGCTTTGCAGCTAGTTAACACATAATTTTATATGCAACTTTGAAAAAAGTTTTCTAAATCCTCAAGCAACAATGAAAATTCACTAAAACTAGGAACTCTAAGGATTCTTCACACACTGTTTTAGAAAGAGAAACAAGAAACTGTTTTTGGGAATAGGCCAATTTCTAATTAATGATTGTTTGATAGGAAGTATAGACAGGGCAACATTTTCCCCTATAATATAGTACAGCAGATAAAGTACCTTTGTGGGAAAAGGCTAATTGTTGCAGCTTAAGTTCAAATATTGATAACTACAGAAAGACAAAATGTAGAATACTGCTTACAAGGAGTGAATTCTTCCTAACCAATCAAAGATGAAAAGGAAAATTAAATATAATTATTCATGAATACAGTACAGTATGTTGTAAAAGTCACAGAACCAAATATGAATGTCTTCGAAGTTTAGATGACTCCAGCAGTGTTTTGACAGGGACACAAAAAGCAAAACAGATTTCTGCAGATCTTCAATAAGACCAATAAAAAAGACTGCATGGAAAGCAAGCACTGAGCGCTCTGCAGCAAGGTTACAATAAACCTCCACCATCAAGACAAGGAAATAGTTTAAGTGAGTGAGCCTCATTAAACTAAATACATACCAGTATCCAAAATATGGCATTTTAACTTTTAAGTCTACAGTATCTCATTCTGTTGTAGCTGCTTTGAAACTAACTACAAAAATACTTTAGAAGTATACATTGAAAAAATAATTACCGGAACCATACTGAAAAGGTTTTTTTTTTGTTTTGTTTTTTGTGCACCTAGGTAGGCCTAGAAGTCTAGAGCCCATGTCAGAAGGAGCCAAACATTCTCTACCAAATGTACAGAAATATAAATGCCTTTCTGAATTGCAATCAACACTCCATGGAGCAATTCTCCAAATATAAGTCACTCCCAAATCATACGGTGAATTAAGACACTTATAAAGTCTAAAGTTTTATATTATCTGGGGTTTCCTTAAGAATTTTGCTGTTTAATGAGAAAGCCTTTTGTTTCACTGTTTGAGAGGCAATGCAGAGCATTCCAGAATTTCTATGTTCTCCAATTTTCTCCACAATAGCAGCTTGCAAGTAAACAACAAGCAGGTATATAGGAGAAACCCTAGCAAAGTGGCAAACAATGAAGAATTGCTGCTTCACGGTGACTGTCAACAATGGATTCATAAACCAGATTGAGTCTCAAGGCTGCTTCCTCCCTTCACCAGAATGGTTATCTTGTGAAAACAGGGACAAACATATGGTAATATTTACATGTATTTTAGCATAATTCTATGTATGTTCTAAAATAACAGCACATACATTATAGTCCAAAATTACTGTGGAATAGGTTAGCTATCCAATTTATGAATAAGCATTCACCTGCCACTATCTTGCATAGGTCCAAAAAGTTACTAATCCGTAGCATTTTAAGAGGCTCCATGCTTGCATGAAAGAACCCATTTGCACTGCTCTAGCACCTTAAGGGGTTCTGTTCCTAATTCATTATCTGGTTGTCTGGAAATAACACTTATAGATGACTGGCAGCATTGTTCTTTGCAGCTCTGGTTTACGAATTCTTGAGAGGGGTTTGGACTGAATGAGATTTGGGGGCAAAGACCCTATTAGCCTTCAATATGTGTTATTATGGTTTCTTGTGTTCTTGAACATGTCTCTATGAACTGAATGGCATGATAAGAATTTAATAGTTGTTCGGAGCTCTGAATCACACAGAATCCTAGAAGAGGATTGGACAGTTGGAAGAGGCCTGTAAGGTCATTGAAGCAACACCTTGCATAAGAGAGGTCATCTGGAAAAAGGGAAAAGGCAATACAAATTTAGGAACACAGGAAGATCATGCCCTACCATTCAAGGCCCTTGGTAGTCAACAACAGAGCTCATCCCTGAAGTCTGTTTGAAATACAGCCCAGCGGCATCGGAAGTTAGAAATACTGTTGCACAGAAAAAAGATGGTGGTTCTGATTGTGGTACATGGCAAATCAATAGTGCTGGGATACCACCGCATGCCTTGTTTGAAGTCGTAAACAATCCCACAGATATAACTCAGAAGGTTGAGCTTAAAGGATATTCTATAGCTGGAGACCGCAATGTTTTTTTGCATCCATGGGCACATTTGGAATGTTGAAAGATGGGGATTGTGTCACAAAATGCTTGCCATGGGGAGGCACTTGCTCATTCATAATATGGCTATCCTGGTGGGCATGGCCCAGAAGTCAGACTGGTGAAACTAAAGGAATAGGAGCCTTCCCAAGATCCTAAATACAAGACAGATGTGGGGTCTAAGCTCCAAAAGAAATACAAATTGCATACAAATACAAAATACTAATACCAATTATACACAAGGACAGTATTTTGCTTGTAGCACGCCAGATGGTCAGTTAATTCTTTCAATTATTTTAAAATATTTTAAGAAATAAACATGGGTATAGAAAATTATATATTAATTTCATTTATTAATAAAATTATCTATTTGAAACAGAATCAGTTAACATATGCCTATCTGCTGTGGCCCTTCATCACCACAGTGCCACTAAAATTTGTGTGTGTGTGTTTTTCAATTAACCACTGAAAATGTGTGCCAAGCTAGTGTAGAGCACGACCGTGCCAAATTTAGCTTGCCTTCCACAACAGCTGAACATTTTAGTCATCAGTGCCCTGTGGAATTCTGTGAAGTACCAGCAACAGCAGTAGTGTTGCCCATGAGAGACAGAATTGGGGTGTGAAAACGGCCCCAAATCTCCCAAGGTTACCCATCTTTGGTTCAAATGTAACAAAATATATTAAACAATG